ACTATCCAGTTTCTAATGACAATTACCTTTGTATTTGGTCAACAATGTTAGTAACCAGCAAATAATGTAAATTTCCGTTTAACCTAATTTTCCATAACATATACAAACTGTAACTTGTAAGGTTATGGCCAGCAAAAACTAAGTAAGAACATTTAGTTTTCCTTGATCACCTACACTCAACACAGCATGTGACTAAATCACGGCTACCTACCGATATATAACATATCCAAATCAAACATACTTATATATTAATGTTTAGTAGGTAATTCAGCATAATAAGAATCTAATATATTTAAAATTACAAGTCAATTTTGTGAAAGAGACAGTATACCAGTGGCGTATTTGAGGGGGGGGCATGGGTGTATGCCCCCCTTGGCATTTTATTGGTGATGTTTTAACTTTTAATCACTGTTATATCCTGTATATAGGTAATAAAATAATATAATATTTACACGAGTGATATTTAATATTTATTTATTACATTTTTATCAACGTTACGAAAAAGTATTGATAATGATATCGGCCAATTCTTGTAAAAATTAATATACCACGGTTGTAGTAACACACTCATATCACACTATACCACGGAATACCATCTACGTTTGTCATATTATCAAAATTATTGTGGATTTAGCCGCGTTATGTTTGCGGTTATCTCCAACGGGCATCAGGCACTTCTCTAAAATGATAACCAAAAAGACGCGAAGTACTGAATTCCGAAGTGTCGTACAATTACAAATACAAATTGTCTACATTTAAGATTATTTTATATTATTTTATTATAAACTGATTGTTTCATTATGAAGAGACTTTAATTCAGACTATAAACTACTGATTTAATATTCTTCAGTTAAGACTATGTTATTTACTAAGATAATTATTAAACATTTATTTAGTAGTTAATTATTCTTATTACTTATTATTCATAAAATATTCACTACTTATAAATTATAATTAATAATTATGCATGTTTATTAAATATTTATTTATATAATATGTTATAAATAAATAAATTGCTTACATTTGATTCAGATTTAACCTCTGCTTTTATGCTGTTGCATGATGCTTTGTTTTAGATTAAAAACTTGGTTAAGACCAAAGATGGGTGAGAAACGACTAACTGGTTTGGCCTTATTAAATATCCATAGAGATTAATTATAGATCAATTTTCATAAGTAAAAAATAGATCTATATTAGGTACTATGAAAATTGTTGTAAATATTTTTTTTTCTGATTTGTTGTAGAATTTATAAATTTATATAGCAATATATATATATAGGTTATTATATGTATTTCTTAATTTTGTTTTATTATAACCAATCAAGGACTCGGCCGAGATAGGAGTATTACATGACTTTAGGATTTAAGTATAATATGAATATCATACATTTTTTTTATAACAGCAAATAAATGGTAAGCAATAATCAGTTAAATACATTAATGTACGGTTAAAAAAAATAAATGGGAAATTTTGAATTCCCACAATATTTTGTGGTGTATTACAATTTTTAAATAGCCCCTCCCTTGATTGAGCTCCAGCTACGCTACTGCAGTATACTATAACCAGTTAGTATATTAATTTTTATAGTTTTTTTTTTTTTTTTTTTCATTAGCCTTTAGTAAAAAACTATAATAGCTCGACAGTTAATACAGATAATACAGATAAAAATTATACAGAAAATAAAGACTTATATAAATAAAAACAATAAAAGATTGATAACAAGAAAAGTAATATAAATTAGGTGATAAAAAACTAGATAATGTACCTTAAATAGCAAAACCAGCTTCCAAAAGGAAGTTAATTATTTTTATAATGACCATTTCAGTCTTAGTATTAAGTATAGAAGGGAGAGTGGGAGGAATGTTTAGAGACTTAATATAGTTAATCAAGGACGTACGCTTGGTATATAATGAGGGACAGTCAAATAATAAGTGAGAGATAATTTTTATAGTTATATCAACTTAACTTTTACAAATTGTCCACTACCTACTAGACATCGCAGTTTGATGTAAAAATGGACATTGGATGCTATGATCCGTTAAACAATTTACCAACCAAAAATTAACCTAAGTAATTAATAATTTCTATTAACAGTATTACTGGGATTCTATAAGTAGATGACTCCTTTTTCTACTATTTTTTCTGTCAAATTAAATTATGTTAAATATATTTGTTCAGTTAGGTTCAGGTCAGTTGACATCAGTTAGGTTAGTAAATTGTATTATTACATTTTAAATTACGCTATAATGTAAAAATAATTCTTACCCTGTGAGTAACTGATCATTATTATGATCTGTAACATCAATAATTTCCCGTTTAATTACTCTATTAAATACTGGATCATCGCATCTAACAAGTGGAATTGTCAACACTCTCGAACTGTTCAATATATAATCATACCTTAAATAAATTGAAAAAAATGAATATTTTATTATCCAGTAGGCAATTACTGTTCAAATCATATACAAATAATTACATAAATTACAAAAACACCTAGTTTTATAAAATAATTTCAAAATGTTGGTGAAAATGTTATATTTTTGTAACGTTTCACTACCTAATAGTGTAGGTATTTGCTTACTTGTTATTTATGGCAGACTCTTTAATTGATGGACTTAATGGTTCCATACTGATTTGTTCTCCTTAATGTTTTTTGATTACTGTGAACATGAAACATTAAAATTATGTACCTTTGAAATCAAATCGGTCATTTTGTGGGAGCGAAAGATTGCAGGGCATATATTCAGTAAAACGTATTTTTCGGTGTCCAAACATTTTGGCTCCAAAAATTAAAAAACTGAAATATAGCACAAACGTCATCCTTGATTTAAAGTAATCATACACCTAACAAAACAAATGTGTTACACTAAATATTTTTTTGAAAAATAACAAAATATCATTACTAGTGGGCTCTGCCTCATGCTCGCATCACTTGTTACCACCATTTTCAACATAACTAGTATTTTTATCAAAAATCAATTAAAATTAAAAATTGAAAAATAAATACTAATTACCTATTATATAGTTGTAATATTAAATCATAAATCAACGGAAAACACAAAAATAGGTACCTATATAACTTTTTATAATATAATAGAGAGAAATGAAGAAGTAGGTATGTTGTTCTGATAAAGTTATAACAGTGTACATAAGCGTTGAACAGTGGTTATTTATGTGAGACTGTATAACCTGTAGACAGTAATTATAAAATGGATAATTACTCCAAACTTATGTCTACCTAAATAAGTTTTTTTATGCCAACACAGAATACATTGAGTTATGTACCTATTCAATTTGTATTTTCATAGTTTTATACTATAAATTGTTGAAAAAAACATTTATTAAAACAAGTGATACACAATATGTGTATAGAAATACATATTAAGACATAAAAACAACAAAAATTATAATAAAAACTTGGAACTTGTATAAAATATTTAAAAATAAACTGAGAGTATAACAAATAAAATCCATTTAATTGAAGATCCTGACCACCTTAAGAAGCAATTAAAAAGATAAATGCTCTCAAAGCATTTATTGATGAAACATCAAAACAAACTGCATTAAGTAAGGAGTTCATTAAGTTAATTAACAACCTGCATAATATAAATACTAATTAAACAAAATTTTTTTTTTATCAAAATTAAGAGCGAAAAAAACGGAAAACAATATGATTAAACCATGTGGCCTAGGAAAAAGCAATTTTCGGGACACCTTTTATGACAAAAATTCAAAGTATTACATGAAAAAGATGTAGAACATTTATACTTTAAGGAACAATAAACCACAATTATTTAAACTATTAATCTTTTTTTCAGTGATTACTACGTACACTAAATAGGTACTTAACTTTTAATTTTTATTGTGTATTACATTAATAATGTTAGCTATAGTATTATTAAAAATGATAATTTATTAAATTTATATAATTTAAGTACCATTTATTTAATTTATACGTCTGAACTATACTGAATAATTGTTAATTTTTTTGTTTACGTATTAGTCACGTACATAATTAGACCAAATTTTTGTATTCATTTTATTTGACGATACATATAAGTAGACGCTGCTTATAAGACTCGCATTGAGATTTAGCACAAGGTGAGTATTATAACCGATTGAATCTTATAGGCGAATTAGGAACAAACATTTTAATTAGTTATTTTAATTAGTAACCTAACCTAACCTTTATTTTATAGATTTATTTTGCTACCTACTTTTACTTTTATAACATATTACATATTATCAAATAAGTATAATACATATCAACTTACATAGATTTGAAACCTTTATTATTATTTTTAGTTATTACAAATGAAATCAGATAATAATATCATAACAAAAACCCTCCGTCTAACTCCGTGTAAAAATTAGCTGAGTAAAAAAAACAAGAAAAAAATCAAAAAAAAAATCATTGTATAACCATAACATTTTTCGCTTCATAGAATTTATAAAACTAGTAATTTCAAAGCACTATAAAGATTTGATATCATAAATAAATGCTAAGTAAACTGAATTTAAGTATATTTAGTCTGTTTCGATAATTTATTTACTTGGCGAAGAAATTTTTTACTTCATACGATACAATATAAGAACCTTGGCGCTGGATGAATAATTAGACAATAAGACATTATAAATTAAAAATATTACAGTGAACATTTCTATACTAATCAAAATAATACTCTACAACCAATAATAACACTGTATACTCTATATTAATACTAATATTTCCTCGCCAAGTAAATAAATTATCGAAACAGACTAAATATACTTAAATTCAGTTTACTTAGCATTTATTTATGATATCAGATCTTTATAGTGCTTTGAAATTACTGGTTTTATAAATTCTATATGAAGCGAAAAATGTTTTGGTTATACAATGATTTTTTTTTTGATTTTTTTTCTTCTTTTTTTTACTTAGCTAATTTTTACACGGAGTTAGACGGAGGGTTTTTGTTATATCACCAATTTTTATCATTTATACCTCAATACATTTTTATTAATTTTGCTTCTCGAGGATTAGCAAATAAATGTCTTTGCCACCTCTAGGCCATCTTTCTTTATTAGAAGTGAGATCATTACATCTGAACCAAAGATTTGATTTTTTTATTAAACTTGTATAATGACCATGATGTAATGATTCCCCGTGATGACAAATCGCAGAACATATTCTATACGTTTTTTCATCAACTTTTAAAGATGTTGTTGACAAAGATATTAATGATACATTATGCATTTTTTCTTGTAATTCATTCCATAATTGTAATTGTATACACAAATATTGTCTTGTACTAGATACGTTCATTACTTTCGAATGGTTTCCTGTGATCCTACAATTACTACAATTAATTTAAAGTATTGTTTCTTTGCTAAATTCATTAAATAATGAATTTAATGTAACTTTATTCTCAATAACTGCTAGAGGTAATATATAGTTGAGCGTTTTATTGGTTCTAACATCATAGCAATTTAAACATGTTAATATCGATATTAATTCATGTTTTAGACAATTTTCTAGGTACTAAACGGTTTATAAATTATTGGTCAGTTATACGCGAGGTGCGAACACAGTTTAAAACGGAACATACCCGACAAGTCCAGCGTGAGCCGTACGCGCAGTGCGAATACTGCGAACACTAATTACGAACTATATACTTACGTAACTTTATAGCTCGTATTTTTACGAACACTAATTACTTTAATGCGTAATTAAATAATGACCAATAACGACACGTAACATAAAAAGCATGCACAGCGTAAGTCCAGCGTCAATAACTAAAAGCTATGAGACAAATAGACAACATGTAATGCACTATGCACGTATTTTAAATGGTTTAATATTAGATAAGACAGACTAGACAACACGCTATGAGCAGCAATGCAAAGAACTGAAAGAACGGAACGTGCACGTTTACTCAAATACTATAGATTAGAATACGGGAAGCCCTGTAGAAACCTGCTGGCGTCATAGCGCTCCAAAATATATGTGATTGCCTATTCAGCCCCTTTCTCCTTATCACTTTTATGTACTCGTTAACTAATACAAATAATTTGGCGCCATAAATCAACAATATAAAATAGGTATTAGAATATAGATTACTATTATATTATAATGAGTACAATATTGAATGTACATTGGTACATATTTTGTTATATGCAAAATACTGAAACAATAATTATTAAATTTAAATAACATAATATAATATCAATGATATCAGTATTACGATAGTTGATTATTTTTCTATACCTTACAAAATTACTCTAATAAAGTAATAATTATTACACTATAAGGTATAATTTATTTAAATACAACAGAAACATTATATAGAATGAGTAATATGATATTATAGCTGATAGTGTTAACCTTTTTTACTCAAAATAATTTTATCCCTATATTTATATTGTTGCTATTAATTATGAAGATACTAGTAAGGACTTTTCTTTATTGAATTTATACAATATTATGTTTATTGATTTCTTATTTTCCAATTTTCCGTGTCAGTTGATGTTAGATTAAGAAAAAAAAATAACATTATTGTACCCAAGAAAGTAAATTTTAAGAATCTGTAGGTAGATAGATCTCATTATTTTAAGAGTGTCAATTATTTTAAATACATATTCCTGTCTTTTCAATAACGTTATACTAAGCATACTACTAGCATACTAACAGAATATTTTATTTGACAATGTTTAGATTATCGCTTACGTGTCCATCATAATCCTCAATTATGTGACCAGGAAACTAAGAGATTAAGATTAAAAATTAGAACAATGCAAAAGTTAATAAACAAAAAGAATACTAGGATACAGTCAGGCACGGCGCCAAGGGGGGGCAAGGTGGGGCTCTAGCCCCCCAGAAAACAGATCAGCCCCCTCGCCAGCCCCCCCACTGAAAAATATGTACGATATAATTAATGTTTGTTGTATACAGTTAAAAATATTTTTAGTTGACTTATTATTTTAAATATGTTTATGTTTGATTAACACAATACTATTGTGTAAGGAGTTGGTATTCGTATCTACCTACTTATATTAGTTTAGTAATATTAGCATGACAAATTTCTTATTTAAAATAATTAAATAATTAATTCAATTTTCTTATTTTGTTATTTTTATAATCTTATTTGTCATGGTAATTAGTTCACATATTACTTGATAATTAATAAAAAAAAGGATTTCTTAAAGTATCTATGTTTTAATGTATACATGCCAATGTATATATGCCTTGTATATAACCTTGTATATATGAACTATTTTAACCTCAAAAATTTAACAAAAAATATAAAGTAGGTACTTCAATAGTCAATACATACGAGTACACTACTATGCAAATACCAATTAAAAAATGTATTGAATTAAAAATTTAAAATGTACTAGTTAAATATAAGGTAGGTAATCAAAAGTTTTTATTTAAAACAAATTGTATTCCTACTGATATCAGTGCAATTGTATACATTTTTGTTAACTTTTTCAATATTATAAGATTTTCAATCATTTACTGTATGGTGCATAAACAGATATTGTATAAAAATCAATATTTAGCTCATAAAGAAATTATTATTTTTGTATATCATGTTATCATTATGAATATAGTTGTTGAAGGTCTTAGGTCTGTGATTAAACATTTTCTTACATATTACAAAAGGTACAAAAAAAATATTTGATATTATTCTAAAAACATTTTTAACTATTCAAAAGTTTGTAAATATTATATGTTTAGACGTTTAAAGCATACAATATAAAACGTATGTACTATATTAATAGCTATATTATGTTATATGATACGAAAATATTTATATTTCATTTAAATAACCTCAGCATTTGTTGAAACAATTTTAGCCCATGTAAAAAAAATATTTGCCCCACTCTGCCCCCCCCAGGAAAAAAATTCTAGTGCCGTGCCTGGATACAGTTATTAAAAAAAAAGAATCTTAACAAATTACAAATGAATAAAAATTTATTTCAAACTACAGTGAACAATAATTTTATTTTAAAAAACCAGTTAAAACTAGCTAATATAAACAAATATGGTCGTAGATATAAGGAAAATCAAAAATCATTTGCACTTGCATTATATTATAACTCCCCTAAGGCATATAATTTCATGCGCAAGTATTTATGTTTTCCAACAGTGAGATCACTTAGAAATTGGCTACAATCAATAGATGTTTCTTGTGGGGTAAACTCAAATGTTCTTGATGTTTTAAAAATAAAGTTTAAGGATGTTCCACCGAGTGAAAAGCTAATATTATCAATTATAATGGATGAGATGTCACTAAAAAAATTGATTTCTTATAACTCTCAAAATGATCAATTTAGTGGTTACGAAGACTTTGGTCCAGATCATGAGTTTGTTGATATGACAATGAATCGCATCTGTGACCAAGTATTAGTTGTTATGATTAAAGGTATAGTTAAACCTTGGAAACAAATACTTGAATATTTTTTTTCTAAAGGACCAGTATCTAAAAATACAATTTTAGTTATGACAATGATTTTTGTAGTTGGTCAGATTTAGAAGATTTTTATAATTTAGACAAAAATAAAAAGCCAAGGTTAGCTCCTCGATTAAATAAAATTCACATGGATCTACCACCATTCTCACCAATGCGTGTTTGTTTGGCAACCCAAACATTAAGCCATTCTGTTAGTTCTGATATGATGACTTTAATTTCACTGAATGAAATGAGAAGTTCAGCTATACATACAGCAAGATTTATAGAATTCTTTGATAATTTATTTGATGTTTTTAACAGTATAACACACAGTGAGGCAAAAACATTAAGAAAGCCATTAACTAAAACTTCTGATCATTGGAAATTTTTGAATGAAGCAGAACAGGTATTAGGAAAACTTAAAGTTCACAATAAAACTGGTAAATTACCACCGTGTATAGTAGGTTGGAAAGAAAATATTATTGCCTTGAAATTGTTATTTAACAAACTAGATGAAAAATACAAAATAGATTTCTTATTAACAAGAAGACTAACACAAGACAGTGTAGAAAATGTGTTCTCAGTAGTAAGGTTAGTAAGTAATTTTTAGTTAGTATAATCAATATTTTGTGATAATTATATAATTATTTTTCCACAACTATCGATATCATTAAAACGTTTAAAACTTAAGACCTGTATAACCGTGTAGAACTGTACCAAATTATTGTAAAAACAATAAGCTAACCATCAAGTATTACCTACTCTATGAAATAAACCTTGTTTTAGTAATCCTGTCTCCTGTGTCCATAATCCATACAGCCATACACTTGATACAGGTAATGATGTATTGCACGTTTTATTATAAACTATTTATATATTTTAATATTAACAACACTATAATATTAAGTTCCTAAAGGCTAATGGACTATTGAACTTAATTTAAAAATTAGAAAAAAGCTAAGTAGTTGTTCTTTTGTATTTGTTATAACTTATCAGTTATTCAGTTATCACTTATCAGTGTCTAAAAAATAAAAATAAAGGGGTTTATATAGGCAACCTACTATAATATGGAGCGCTACAGTGTCCCCTAGAAAATCTAAGAGCTTCCCGTATTCTAATCTATAGTATTTGGTTTACTGCAGGCTGACGACGATAACGAAATGAAACAATGAAAAGTAAAATATTAACATGAAGTAGTAATAATGAAATGCGACGTAGCCATAGATAATACACGTAATAGTGTGATGCCGTAGTGGGAGACCGGGAGGGGGTGACTGGGAGTGGGGGAGCGTGAGTGGGGGCCGGTCGGCACGACAACGCGAGAAGCGGCCGCCGTGATTCCAGATTTCAATATAATTTTTCATTAAAAATGTTTCACGTTTCCTTTAATAACTTAATTTCTAACTGTACGATTTTTATGATTTTTACAAAAGGATCATCTGCATGATTTTCCTCATGTTTTGCAATTTACTAGGTATAAATTGATTCAGTAGATAATTAATAATCTCATCTGACAAAAAACATCGAAATTTACACGGTTTTGATGGGAAACTCCTGCTTCGAGATAATATACACTGTCGTGCCGCCGCTTTTATTTTTTTTACTTAGCTCGCGCCACGACCGTGGCGCTGGATTACAGTATCGTTGTTGCGATAAATTTTAACCGCTAAAAACCTTGTTGTACATACATGAGTCCCCGCGGCCCGCACGACGTAATTAAAGTGTTTGTGTATTAGTGTACACCAGTGCCGTACCCAGGATTTGTTTTCGGGGGGGGCTTAAACATACTTAACTTTATAGGAAAATAGGAAATAATTTAAAACATATAATATATACACATAGTTTTTAATGTATTATGCATTCATTATTAAATTGTCACAATTTAAAATCTAAACGCCTTTCCTTTTTAGACGCAAACATATTTAAAATAGCATCTGTGTCAATTTGTATGTCTCTGTGGATATTCATAAGAGCTAATCCGTTTAATCTTGCCTCACCGGTAGAGTTTCTTAAATAGGTTTTAATGTTTGGAAAGATCAAAGAACTTATTTCAGAATTTACTAATGAAATCAATTCTGTTGGATAATTTTATTGTGAATGGGAATGCATACAATTTTCAAAAATGTTCCACACACTGCTAATAGATAAGGTTGTTTGCCCCAAAATTATTATTTTACTGGATTTAAATTGTTATATCCAAAAATATTTAAAATAGCAAATATTATTCATCATGCAATTTTTATTTGTGGAAACCAAAATGCCAAAAAGCAAGTAGCTGGTTAACTATTTTAAAAACAACTAAATAATTTAGGTGAAAAACTAAAAATTAATTGAAAAGAAATTTTAAAGCTAGCAAAGCATTAAAAATAATTTAAATAAGCTACTTCCTAATCTGTGCATTTATATTATTACAAAGCACAAATAATATATTTGATAATAACAGTATTAAACAAACTTTTTTACAATACCTGAATTATTATTAATTTATTATTTAATAATAATTTTAGGTTTTCACATGTTTTTAACTAGGTAACTTACATAACATGATTTTAACATATTATGTACTGACTGTTGGTATTAAAAAACAAATTCAACATAAAAATTTATATTATAGGTAGATACATAATACAATTCATTTTAATTCATACCAATTCTGGTTCTGTAACATGTTCATCTATATTTGTTCTGCTCGCTGAGTTAACAGAAATACTGCCTCTATGTCTATCATTAGTTGCCCCTAAATTCGTACTGACCTAAAAGGTAAAATGTATGTATTTTAGGTATTGGTCTAATGTGTGATATTTCAGTTATTGGTGATGATTAATTTAATATTCATGAGTTTATAAATATATGTATGAATTTAATATTAAATATACTGTATTACTGTATATTTAAGTACCTAACTCACCTGTTCATTGATGCAAATATTTGCAGAAGTAGTTACATTTGAACTAAAGTATGAATACAATGTTTTGGTTTTTTTTCTCTTAGGTTCATTTTCGTTTTCATTCATTTTATAAACTAATAAAACTGACACACTTCACTAAATATAATATAAAGTAAAAACTAAAAAGCAAAAAGCCACAAATTGATGTTGATAATTAATGATAGTAGGTATATTGGAGTATTGCATTATTTTATGATGGTATCACCACGTATCACCACAGATTATATTATAAAACAATTTGTGATATCACGAATAAGATTATTGTTATCAATATATTATCATGGGGCGCGTATAGCGCGGTAACGCGAGCGGAGTGAGTAAGACGTGGTGATAAGACTACCGCGTCACCACAACCATAATATACTAAAAGGTCGTCAACATTATTACTATGACATGAACGATAATATGATATTGTTCTGTGATATGAACCCATTACGCATAACGCATTACTAAAAAAATATTTTTCCTGAGATTTCGGGGGGGGCTTAAGCCCAAAAGCCCACCCCCTGGATACGGCACTGGTGTACACTATATTTTACTGTTTAGTTGTAGACGGGCCAGTGGTTCCCAATTCTTGAAATCGTAATATTAAAAATACTCGCATGCGACATAAGTCATACGTTTTGAATTTATCGACTGTGACTATAAGTTATTATCGCATGCGACTATGCGACTAGGTATGCGGAGTATGCGATGTAATACAATTTATCGGTGTTCTTGATTAATTAAACTGAATTCAACGGAAATTTTTTCTACTTGTCGAATGCACAGATATCTACTACACTACACGTGTATGAAAGAACCGCCATGGTAACAACACTAGTCACTACCATGTACTATGGTGTGGGTATGAACACGGACAGTCCGTGTGTTCACACGGTAACTAAAATTGGCACGGTAAATACTGTGGTGGAGGGAGCTATGAGATTCCGTTGGACCATAGAACAATGGTTGGACGGAGCAGCAGCCGCACAGTGCACACCAAGCCTAAGGCCGGCGGGCTTAGCTTTACACACAGTTTATCACGTAATCTAGTGCGCATGAGCGTCCAACTATTATATCCACGGCTATAGTATCCATGTGATGGACTGCTATAATACAGATGGACTACGCGTTCCTACTCCCTCCCCGACAATAAATTCAGCCATAATAATAAGAACGTGTAAGATCATAATATTATGCTATGGATGTAGCTGCCATGATATAAACAACACGGTATTATCCTAAGTCCTGATATAGTCCATGTCCGCGCGGCGCGCAATACATAACTTGCTTACCCGTATTATCATATTGTCATGTCATTAAATTACTATACACTACGCAACGTCATGTGCTTAGCGAAGGATCTGACCGTCAAATAGTTACTACGGATGTAGCTACAGCGTATGATTTTGTTGCCGATATTATAGCGACGAGTCACCGAATTATGTGATGTGATCCGGTGATCGATGTGCGCTAGAGCGATTCAACTCCTCTCATAATTATCCATATAGGTACAATCTGTGAATAAATATCATTCAGCAAGTAAATCGGCGACTTGTAGCTGATGCCTGATATCGGCAACGCTTTTTTTTGCATTGATGTAATACGCTGTGGCTCCATCCATGTATTGGTTTATGATCTAAGAAGATGAGAGAAAGATGTTCTTAGTTCATGATGTAGAAATGAACATTTATCCATGATTATTTATTTCACAGATAGTCATACCGTGTCACACAGATAATAAACTATTCACTGACTTCTCACTTCTATAGAACACTATAGAAACTACATAGTACACTACATCATATATAATGTACTAAATAGAAATCGGTGACTATTTATTATCTATACATGGTTTTGTGGTCCAACATTAATAAGAAATTGAGGCTGTTTGTTTACATTTGTATACGTTAATACCACAGATTAAATTAATTTCATTTAATAGGAATATGTTTATACTTAAGTCGTAAATCATATAATTTACATGGTTCATTATCTCGGTGCGGGATAGATAGTAGGATAATTTTAAAGCGGTATAGTTTAGCGAATTTCTAGTCCGTAATACGTCTCTTTATTATCTATGAATTTCATTTTTAATGGGTAATTCAATAATTTATTGTTATTAAGCTTTTTTTAAAAGATCTTTTAAGTTTCTGTATTTTGTACAATAGTATCTACCGTACTACTGTGTTCAGTGTCGGCCTGGCCATAGCCGCTATGCCACGAACCCACCCGTGCCCCCGGCCATATTTTTATTGAGGGATCCTGGATAGTACTATGAATATTGGATATTAAATATCCAATTTAAATGCCATTAAAATTGCCAATTTAATGGCATATTAATATTATATCATTAAAAATTATAATACTATTATCATTTTATCAAAAATTACTGATATAAATAAAATCAATTACACAACTTGAATCGCATTAAAAGAAATTAACTTGTATAATATTATAAGGTATTATTTATATGATTTTATAGAATTATAAATAATTACTATGACTATGTTACTGAACTTAAATGTGTATTTTAAATAAGGTACCTTTAAAAAAAATTTAATATTTTGCACTACCTGATTAATATCACTTTTTTATATAATTTTTTGAACAAAAATTTTGGGGTCCCTTCTGTATAAATGCATCCGAGGCCTTTAAGCACCAGGCCAACACTGACTGTGTTCATTTTTTTAATGAACAATGTTAAAATCAAGACCACCTCTGACTCAATTTAAAATTAAGTTTTATAGTTGAGCTTATGGCCGAAGATCCATTAGTATTTAAATACATATCTTGAATACATTTGAAAAGTTTTTTTTCACAATACTGTAATTAATTTAATGGTTGTGATATAATTAATTAACTTTCCAAGATCTACCTAGCTACAGTAAATACATAAAATAAAAAACTAAAAAGAGCCTTAGGTAGGTAAATAACAATATATTGTTACGTCTATAATATAGTATACATATACAATAACTAATTACCAATACAATTATGATTAGTATTTGATACATTTAATTGTAAGATGCACAGAGATATGACGTTGATGACCACAAAAATTACCTAAAAACTTCAAAAATTACCAAAAAAATTTAGTTAAATAAGTGAAATAATTTATTAATATTAGAGATACGGGTATGATAATGGATTATGGAATAATTTAAAATATGAATTGTTCAATTAATAGACAATAGTAAACATTAAAATTGTAAGTTTAATTTACAGTAAAAAAAAAAATATGAAATTATTAAAAATGAATTAAAAAGTAAAATAGAAATAAAAATATATATTAATATAACAAAAAGTATAAAAAGTATAAAAAGTATAAAATTTGATAAAAATGCCCCACATTGTACAAAAAATGATGTACCTAAAAAAATTAAACTTTTGACATTAAAAAAACAAAAAAATGCATTTAGGTAAAATTACTAAAATACAAAATAAAATTAGAATATTTCGAATCAAGAGGGCATGAAAGAAATTTTAAGCATTTTATAGGATTAAAGAAAGAATCCAAAAGTCAACAATATCCGATCTCTAATTATAATCTATAAATTAAAAAAAAAATTATTATTATTTTTTAAAATAAATATTTTAAAACGTTAAGTATTAACATAACATTGAACATTTGAACATACCTAATTTAAATACAATAAATACCAATATTACAATATAACAATTTGTTCTTGTCTTATATATTTTTTTCTATTAAAGCAGACAATAACAATGAAAATAATGCCAAGCCATCAGTCATTGCATAAATAATAAACTTTTTCATTTATTTTTTTTCGTTCAATTTATAGACAACAGTAAATATTAATATTGTATTAGTATTTAAATAAGTTATACGTATCCTAAATACATTTGAAAAGTTTTCTTAACAAGACTGTAGTTAATTTTATGATTGTGGTATAATTAATTAAATTTCCAAGATCTACCTAGCTAATATACCTACATAATATAAAAAAAAAGCCTTAGGTATATAATACATTGTTACATCTATATTATAGTATACAATAACTAATTAACAATACAATTATGATTAGTATTTGATACTTTTAATTGTAAGATGTCTAGAGTTATGATGTCGATTGCCACAATATGCCCTAAAAACTTCAAAAAATTACCATAAAAATCTACTTTAATAAGTGAAATAATTTATTAATATTAGAGATATGGGTATATGATAATAGATTTCAGAATAATTTAAATTATGCATTGTTTAATTAATAATAGACAATAGTAATCATGAAGATAATATTAGTACCTATTTAAAACGTAACCTAAATACATTTGAAAAGTTTTCTTAATAAAACTGTAATTAGTTTTATAATTGTGGTATAATTAATTAACTTTCCAAGATCTACCTATCTGTACCCACATAACATAAAAAAAAGCCTTAGGTATATAATATATTGTTATGTCTATATTATAGTATACATAACATATATAATAACTTATTAACAATACAATTATGATTAGTGTTTAATACTTTTAATCAGGGTCGGACTGGCCCGGACCGCTAGTCCGCAATTTTAGACGGGGCCTCGGCTTAATTATGGTAATTGGAACAAAATCGCTATTGCACTGTATAATGATATGATGTCTTATATAAAATTGTTATCGACGATAACTTGTACCTATGTATGTATGTATGTATGGTGTAATAAAAATATTAATTCATAATAGGTGTAATATAACGGTGATAACTGATAATTTTAGGGGAAAAGCCTAGCTATGATGAAATATATGAATATATGATACTATATATAATTTATTATTCTTACCGTCAGCAGTTTGCCGAAAGTTTTTTGTGAATCGCAACAATTTTTGTTAATTTTATGAATAAATTGTGAAAAATGCTCTAAAAACCAAGAAAATGCACTAAAAACATAAAAAAAATGTCCTTAAAATGCATTTTAAGGTTAATTTTGTAAAAAAATGCAAAAAATGCATAATAATAAATACCTTAAAATAATCAGTATCACCCAAAACACATTTTATACTTACAGATCAACGTTTCAAAACATCAGAAAAAAAGATGCCTTTGCATCAAAATCCCAGTCCTAATCATTATCATTCTACGAATTTAATATAGCTGTCTATATACAAATATGTATCATTGATTATAAATAGTGTAAAATTGTTGCGACTATTAAACAATATTATATTATATTTATACGATATTTATAATAGAATGTGTATGGTAATAACTAATAAGTCATTTTACAGAATTTTTTTTTATGAGAAAAGGCCTAAGTCACTTATTATAACTTATTTTATTGACAAAGGGCAAAAGTCTTATAAAATTACCCGCAATAGGTCATAAGTCATTATAATTTGAAGTAAATTAATTAATACTAAAATATATTTAATAGTAAAATAACAAAACACTTATACATATATAAACACCTATATATTAAACATGATTATGAATAAAAAATTTTAAAACATTAAAAATTTACAAAGTTATAATGTATTTTGTGTCTTCTGAAAAGTATCAAGTTTGACTTAAGCCCTTTCTCTTAAAAACCGTCCAATTGTAAGATGTCTAGAGATTCTATTAGTATTTAAATACATATCCTGAATACATTTGAAAAGTATTCTTAACAAAACTGTAAATAATTTTGTGATTGTAGTATAATTAGTTAACTTTCCAAGATCTACCTCAATGGCTCATTTAAGGGGGGGCAACTGGGGCAAATGCCCCGGGTGCCAAATTTTAGAGCGGAAAAATGTTTATACTGAACCATTACTTACAAGAACCTTTTGAAAAAATATTACCTTTTTTTAAAACTAACTAAAATGACACCAGCTACAGTACAGATTTGGAAATTTAATTTTCTAATGAATGTATTCATTTTGGCTGTTATTTAAATCCATTTCCAATTCTCCTCCCAGTATACAAAACATGTTAGTGTTTATAAGAAAAAATGATTTAAACAATATCTTACCTAAGACTTGGGAGCTACACCCGCATGCGACCTCTACGTGTTACAAATATATAACGTGGCAAATTGTAGGTAAGTCCAGCAAATCACATTTAGCTCTGTAAGTTTAAAAATTTGAGTGAATTAACCTCTTATAAAATTTAGAGGAGAATATTACCTAGTAAAGTAGTGTACCTTGTACGGTTTGTAGATTCTGAGTGAAGCGATGAATGTACTGATTTTACAATGATGTGGAAAAATTCAAAAGTCAACAATATCCGATCTCCAGTAATAATCTATAAATTAAAAAAATATTATTATTATTTGTTGAAATAAATATTTTAAAATGTTAAGTATTTAACATAACATTAAACATACTTTAAATACGATAAATACTTATATTACAATATAATAATTTGGTATCTGATCAATTTCCCAGTGATTTTCAAAAGCACTGTAAAATTGGGTGACTTCAGACACGTGTGTGTACTTCCGACAACATGATAACAACTTATGAAGTTAAGCCACAGACTTCTATACTACACTAGATAAGGAAGTAAAGAACTCCTATACAATTTACATTGTTACAAGTGAAGCTCAGCTGCGGACGGCCGCCATTTTGTCGGTTGGCAAAACATGTCATTTATTGTACAAAATGTTTTAGGAATATAATAATTATTTTAATGGTCAAATAAAATAGTAAATGTAAAATTACTTATATAAAAATTTTTTTTTTTTTTTTTAAACAACATGATTAGAAATAATAAAATACGGTACCAAACAAATCATAATATCATCTTATTTGACATATGAAATATCATACAATTGCCAACCAACCTTGAGGCTTCAATTCATGACGGGAGTTCGCTGTCTAGTACTATATAGAAATCTGTGAGCATATGATCGATTTGATACACGATTAGATCTTAAATAATGGTTTGATCGTTTGATGGAATTAAAATTATCGTTTATTTTTTATTACGGTTACCAACTTGTATTGGGGTGTAGGAAACCAAATACTATGTATAATACCTATGTATAATTATTAAATGATAAATAAACAATGGTACCTAGTACCTATATCTCTGTGAATATTTCCATATATGGGCATACATAGCTATTAAATTATTGGATAAGTTATATTGTATGGATATTTTAGAATGTTGACAAGTTATTGATGAAATTGTACCTAGTAGATAAAAATGCTGATGTTAGTGTAATAATGAGGCAATAATAACAGAAATGAAGCGATGTAGCGAAAACATCAATAAAATACTAGATTACATGGTGTACCTATATGACTACATGAGCTATAAAGTTACGCAATCAAAGAGTTGCAAAAGTACCTAGCGGTGTTCACCAATTATAATATTTTCAAAATGTCTCATAGGTACCTAATAATGATGAAGTGTACTGTTCGGTTTACTCACTTGTACGGTGTATGCACACGGAGACGAATAACAACGACCGGGCACCAATGTGTATAATATTATTATGTATGCACCTTATAGTTAATAATATAGCAGAGCGACTAGAAACCATACACGATTAGTGAAGTGCTCTGATGTGAAAGCGGAGGTTATAGTACGGTACACCAATGTGCGCACAAGAGTAGGTGAATGAACAATAACGAAGCCACGAAGGAGATGTGCGCTCCGATGTCGAATCAAATAATATACACGATAATCAGGGTTGCCAGATTCTCAAACAGGTATTCTCGTTCTGAGGTTATCAAATTCCCGTATTTTCAATGAAATTCTCGTATCACTAAAAAAATCGATCGCTGCGCTCGCTTTTCTAATCAATAATATTATTATCACATCAATACTTTATTGTTGTTGTTTATCTAGATTTATAATTTACATTTAAGGGGCCTGCACGCGACCTGTTTTTTTGCTCAAAAACATGCCTTACAGGAAAAACTCTCACGCCTCGTAGATTGGTCCGATTTCCGTAATTTTTTTTTTGTTAGATAGAGGAAGACTTCTTACAGGGCGCATTGGACTTGGATTTTCAAAATTATTTTTCTAAGTCTGATGTTACAAGTTTGAATTTAATCAATTTTTACAACTTTTTAGTTTTTGTATTATATTTTGTTTTTAGCGACGTAATCAAAAATCGAAGTCCAATGCGCCCTGTAAAAAATATTCCTCTATCTAACAAAAAAAAAATTACGGAAATCGGACCAATCTACGAGGTGTGAGAGTTTTTCCTGTAAACTGTGTTTTGACCGATATAATACACCCTATCAACCCCCCCTAAATAGGTATTGGGTAGTAGATTAGTGGAAAAGTCTTATAATTGAGGTGGCAACTAAAATATAAAATTTAATTTTCAAATTTTATAGAATTGCGGAAAATTTGAAAAATCGCGAGCAGGCCCCTTAACATACAATAAACACAGGAAAACATTTATTTTCCTTATTTGGTAGTAGAACATACATACAACAAAATCAACAAATTATATTTTACTCATAATGATTTATTAACAAATAACTAATTCTATTGTTTCTTGTGTAGTATCGTCGCTGGTTTCTGTTTCTTTTTCTTCATTTGTTTTTATGTACAATGACTTAGAAGTCATTCGGCTCAACATATCGGAAGTTGGTTCGAAGTTGGTGCAATTCTGGTTACTCTCACGACCACTTGTAATACACTGTTTTGTATGTAAGACTCCACTTACTGTATGTGTAATTAACTTGGACCTAATTTTTGTCTTAAGACCATTTATTGAAGAAAATATCCTCTCATAATCTGCATTTGCATGTGGCAAGCTAAGTACAGCCAAAACAAAATCACACAACTCTGTAAATTCATTACTGTGATTCATTATCTTCCACCTATAATCAAATAAGTCCAAATTTATTAACATATATATTATAAACATTTTTAATTTAATTTATAAAATTAGATTAAATTTTACCAAAATATATCTATTTGAACTTCAAATTCAATGTCTTCAGGAATTAATGTTGCAGATATAGGTAGTTTACGCCACTGATCATCAATTTGTTGAACTTTTGAGTCATTAATATCAACAATGCAAGGCAACAATTTCATAAGATTAATAAGAGATGGTGTATTTTGCCTAAACTCTAATGACAATGCATTTTTTTGTTTCAAAGCAGTGAATTTTGTGCATGTGGAATTGCATTAAAATTGGATCCTCCATGTTGTACCTCTTTTTTAATTCTAATGACGCTGTTTGTAAAAACTGTCGACATCTGTTGTAAAATCAAATAATATAAAACAAATCAATAATAGACTAACTTAATGTATACTAAATTTAAACAATTTATGACATAGGTACTTTTCAAAAAATTCTTTTCGCCGATTATTGTTGCATATGATGTTATCATTATCTTTATTAAGCATCACTTTTTATCCTAAATATAGTTCATTATTGACCAATTGATACTGTCCATTCATAGGATTTGTATTCACTAAATTAGTCTGCATGACATAATTTCTCTTCAAGAAACACAAGAAGATATCTTTGTATAACATTACAATCATTTCATGCAAATCAGTTATGACCACTCCTTGAGTCTGGAAATATTGATTAAACCTATAAGAAATGATTATTAATATTATTTAAATTTTTCATAATAATAACAAAATTTCCTGATGAATTATGAATAAAATTATTAACAAACCTTGTGAATTTTGGTAGTGCCCATTCAAGGAACTGGTAAAATAATTTCATGAAAGGGTCATTCAAAGCATTATATATATATGTTCACTGGAGACTAATCTCTGTGACAAGTATGTATCCGTGAAATATAATTTGAGTGCTTCCCATTGCTCTAGTATTCTGTTGACACAATGCCGTTTCGAACTACTTTTCAAAAAATTAAAAATATTCCTTGCCACATCTCCACAACTGCGAGGAAGATGTCGACAAGCCTCACTAGCACAAATATGTGCTGAATGGCAAACACATTTCATAATGAAAATTCCTGGAAATTCGTTAAGCAACCGAATTATGTTCACCCATCATTGTATTGCATCCATCACTGCCAAAACCAATTACATTTCTTTTTGGAATATTATGAGATGTAAGTGATTCTAATAACCCATTAAATAGCTTTTCAGCTGTAGCTTTGCCGGGATTTTTAGAATTGTAAACTTCATAAAGGTCCCAAAACTTGCTTTCTATTTTTCCGGTATTTTTATCAAAAAACCTTTTAAAAATAAAAAAGATTAATAACTGTTTTCTATTATTAAAAAAAAATATTAATTAAATAATTATTACCTCAGCACAACGCAGGATGTCTTAATAGTACCTATGTCGGTAGACTCATCAGTCAGTATGCTGAATTTGACAGTTTTTAAGTATTCTGTCACGCGTGTGAAGTTGGGTGACCAAAGCTAGGTGACCAATTTTTGGTGATAAGAAAACTTGTATGCTCGGTTGCATTACGGTATTTTCTAGGCGCACAATGTTTATATTGCCGTTTGTATGTTCTACTTCTATTTCTAACCACAAGATAGCAGTAAAGGATTCTTCACGAAATATTATAAGGTCACCTAAACTTCATGGTATTATAAAATGACGCCGCGAAGCCAGGACATAGCGCTATACACGACAGCCATACGACGCGAAACTTATACGCGCGCATGGGTTTTGATTTTTCCGGCAGTGTTCCGGAAGGAGTCGAAGGACCTAACATAGATATTCGGAAAGCCAGGAAAATTTACTATCCGACGAGATAAATTTCAAGAGCTCCCGGGCTTTGGGGGTAACCGTACTTAGTGCACGAAAGTGCCAGGTGACTAATGCCGGTATGACGCGAAACGTATACAATCAAGTGGTTTTTGATTTTTCCGGCAGTGTTCCGGAAGGAGTCGAAGGACCTAAAAATAAAATTCGGAAAGACAGGAAAATTTACTATCCGACGAGATAAATTTCAAGAGCTCCCGGGCTTTGGGGGTAACCGTACTTAGTGCACGAAAGTGCCAGGTGACTAATGCCGGTATGACGCGAAACGTATACAATCAAGTGGTTTTTGATTTTTCCGGCAGTGTTCCGGAAGGAGTCGAAGGACCTAAAAAAGAAATTCGGAAAGTCAGGAAAATTTACTATCCGACGAGATAAATTTCAAGAGCTCCCGGGCTTTGGGGGTAACCGTACTTAGTGCACGAAAGTGCCAGGTGACTAATGCCGGTATGACGCGAAACGTATACAATCAAGTGGTTTTTGATTTTTCCGGCAGTGTTCCGGAAGGAGTCGAAGGACCTAACATAGATATTCGGAAAGCCAGGAAAATTTACTATCCGACGAGATAAATTTCAAGAGCTCCCTGACTTTTTAAGTAAACGTACTTAGTGCACGAAAGTGCCAGATGACTAATGCCGGTATGACGTGAAACGTATACGCGCGCGTGGTTTTTGATTTTTCCGGCAGTGTTCCGGAAGGAGTCGAAGGACTTAACATAGATATTCGAAAAGCCAGGAAAATTTACTATCCGTCGAGATAAATTTCAAGAGCTCCCTGACTTTTTAAGTAAACGTACTTAGTGCACGAATGTGCCAGGTGACTAATGCCGGTATGACGCGAAACGTATACAATCGCGTGGTTTTTGATTTTTCCGGCAGTGTTCCGGAAGGAGTCGAAGGACCTAACATAGATATTCGGAAAGCCAGGAAAATTTACTATCCGACGAGATAAATTTCAAGAGCTCCCTGACTTTTTAAGTAACCGTACATAGTGCACGAAAGTGCCAGGTGACAAATGCCGGCATGACGTGAAACGTATACGCGCGTCTGGTGAACAATGCCGGTAGGGCGCGAAACGTATACGCGCGCGTGGTTTTCGATTTTTCCGGCAGTGTTCCGGAAGGAGTCGAAGGACCTAAAAAAGAAATTCGGAAAGCCAGGAAAATTTACTATCCGACGAGATAAATCTCAAGAGCTCCCGGGCTTTGGGGGTAACCGTACTTAGTGCACGAAAGTGCCAGGTGACTAATGCCGGTATGACGCGAAACGTATACAATCAAGTGGTTTTTGATTTTTCCGGCAGTGTTCCGGAAGGAGTCGAAGGACCTAACATAGATATTCGGAAAGCCAGGAAAATTTACTATCCGACGAGATAAATTTCAAGAGCTCCCTGACTTTTTAAGTAAACGTACTTAGTGCACGAAAGTGCCAGATGACTAATGCCGGTATGACGTAAAACGTATACGCGCGCGTGGTTTTTGATTTTTCCGGCAGTGTTCCGGAAGGAGTCGAAGGACCTAACATAGATATTCGGAAAGCCAGGAAAATTTACTATCCGACGAGATAAATTTCAAGAGCTCCCTGACTTTTTAAGTAACCGTACATAGTGCACGAAAGTGCCAGGTGACTAATGCCGGCATGACGTGAAACGTATACGCGCGTCTGGTGAACAATGCCGGTAGGGCGCGAAACGTATACGCGCGCGTGGTTTTCGATTTTTCCGGCAGTGTTCCGGAAGGAGTCGAAGGACCTAACATAGAAATTCGGAAAGCCAGGAAAATTTACTATCCGACGAGATAAATTTCAAGAGCTCCCTGACTTTTTAAGTAAACGTACTTAGTGCACGAAAGTGCCAGGTGACTAATGCCGGTATGACGTGAAACGTATACGCGCGCGTGGTTTTTGATTTTTCCGGCAGTGTTCCGGAAGGAGTCGAAGGACCTAACATAGATATTCGGAAAGCCAGGAAAATTTACTATCCGACGAGATAAATTTCAAGAGCTCCCGGGCTTTGGGGGTAACCGTACTTAGTGCGAGAAAGTGCCAGGTGACTAATGCCGGCATGACGTGAAACGTATACGGGCGCGTGTTTTTTGATTTTTCCGGCAGTGTTCCGGAAGGAGTCGAAGGACTTAACATAGATATTCGAAAAGCCAGGAAAATTTACTATCCGTCGAGATAAATTTCAAGAGCTCCCGGGCTTTGGGGGTAACCGTACTTAGTGCACGATTCCAAGAATATATTTATCATTGAAAATATTATTCCTTTATTATACCATTCTTTTGAAATATCTTTCCCTACAAAAATTTAGTCCAGATAATTATTTTCCTGAAAAATACGGTTCTGCGTAAATATTTTCCTCGTTTATATGTGCTCCCTTCAATAAGTACTTGATAATTCTTTACGAATTATTTTTATTGGCTTTTCATATACATTTTCAATAGCTTTACGTTTAATAGCTGTACGAATTTTTTGTAGTTCTTTTTTTTTGTTCATCATTGTCCTCGTCGTGTTGGTGATCTTTAATATTACTGCGAATTAAAACCGTTTTTTCATTGTTGGTGATAATAGTTACATTACATGTTTTTTGCACACACCGCCAAACAATATCACCTGAACTTTTATTAGTTCTAAAATAACGAAAGTTATAGTTGTCGAAATGAATAGAACTATTACCACGGTTATTAGTAAAAAGTTTAAACATATTGATGATTCAAAGATCGAAAGACGACCAAAAACACACTACAAATTTGTACACTGCGAATACAATCTTTTACAGATAAAGCTTAATAATGTCGTTATAGATAATTGTCGATAAGTGACGATAATCGTCCAAAATAAACGTGTGCGGAAATGGGATATTCAGTATTTTAAAATCTGTGTGCGGTTTTGTCCCATACGTATTTTGCGCATTTGTGCGGTAACGGGCGACGCCGAAAAAAAAGTATGTTGCTGCGCGCGGGTCGACAATATCGACACATATTCGGCTAGTCGTATTTTTGGAGTGGCGATACGGGAAAGGTTATTTAAGTCAACATTACATTACATTACATTAAATTAGAAGCAATTCATTAATTAATTGAAAAATTAAACATAATAGATAAAATAATTGCAAAATTATAATAAAATCAATTGATTAAAAAATTAAAAATTAAAAATTTTCAAGTTTCTGATTTTTTCCTTTGTATTTACCTAACTACCTATCTGTATGCCAAATTTGAACTTTCTAGGTCATCTGGAACTGGGTTAGAATTTTGATCTATAATCTATAGGTCAGTCAGTGATAAAAATGACGATTTTCGGACGTTAATATCTAAATAACGGTTTGAAGTGTGTTTATGAAATTTAGAGCACATATATGTATCTCGTTAGTCTCAATATATGAGCCAAATTTGACATGTTTATGTGGAATAGTTTTTGAGTTATGAGGGGGTCAAAAGTGGCTCCAAATGGTTCGTGTAATATAACACACGGTGCTGCTCGCCAGTTCTGTTAGCTAGAACTTGGCTTGACACGCTACCGCGTGTCTAGATAATATGGAAATTAGCTAAGTAGATTTGGGGGCTTAGATGATTTGAAAATGTTAGTAGTTAGTTGTTAGTACTAATTACCATTGATCTATCAAGATAAATAATTTGTAAAAATTATTAAGTAGGTATACTGATAATAGTGAATAGGTAGGTACTACATCTATTATTAGGTAGGTACTTATAGTTTTTTATTGTAAACCATATTCCAAGGATTATTACCCTACACATTTTATTAATTCAGCAACTACTTATTAGAATTTTGATTTAGATACATATACATTTACAATAACATCATATTATGCTAAATAATTTGCACTGAAAAAGGAAATTTTAATTTGAAAAATAGAAGTTTGTATAGCTACAGGATACTCTTTAATAGTAATACAAAGAATATCAGGAATTTGAGTATATGGTGTTTAGGTATACTTAAAAGTTCTAAAAATCAGAATTTCAATAA